GGGGGTTGTTTTTCCAAAATAAGGGCCAGAAGACCCCAGGCACAGCACCCAGAAGAGGAAAACCCCAACGTAACTGATTAAGATGCAGTTTATTGTTTTGTTCTACCATAGCACCTTTAGGATTTTTAAAGGGTTAAACACACACAATTACAAAACTCTCAAAAAATGATTAACTTACAAAACCTTTATGACAAATACTGCCCCCATGATCACATCGCACATAAATAGGATACAAAAAGAGATAAAAATAAAAAACCAATGTTTATTTTCATCCCCCTAAGAGCCATTTACTGGAAAGAAGAGGGCACTAGAGAGCACAGGAGTTTTAGGGACCCAACACATTGAAGACCTGATTTTCCTGGGGAAAGTGCAGACTAGGCTGATGAAGAAGTTGAGTATCTGTAGCTGCTCTTTAACTGGTTTAAGACCAAGTCAGTATTGCATGCACACTGTGAACGCGCATGGCATTCACACCAAGACCACAACTGAAGTCCCACTGAGGTTAAATCACAACGTTTCCTTTGAATTCAGATGGTTTTGGCTTAGTCCTGGGGATATTCAGCATCAGAAAACCAGGGTGAGGGGAGCAAAGCAACATTACCATCACCCTTAGAGTAAAAAAAAAAAAAAAAGGTAAGGATCAGGGATGACTTAAGAATCAAGTTAAAAAAATAACAAAACCATTATTTCTGGTATAAAACTGTTTACGAACACTATGGTTGTTCAGCAGATAATCTCCTGCAAGTGTAAAGCCCAGGCACTTACATTATTTTCAGCTTTACACTTCTGGTAGGTGGACCCTCTCCCACCATCCTGTCATCCGACGTATCAATACAGTATTCAATAGTTTAAAAAAAAATTTAAAAACTCCAAACACATGATCTCCCCAATGCAGAAACAGAATGAACAAAGCAGCATGAAAAGGAAAAGACCTTTTGTTATCATGCTCAACAAAAACCACTGAAAGGTTTTAAGAGCTGAAACCATCAGGACCTTACAGGATGAAAAGGACCTTTTCCATCAGATGCAAAACCATCTGGTTTGGGGGCACAGTTTATGGTGTAACGCCCACCTCCAACATCAACCCGGTATTGCTGATACCCTACGCTTAGGACATTCGCCACCATCATTTTACCATCTCATGCTGCCAAGAAAAGAGGAATACATCTCCTGACAGTGACCCTGAAACGCCAACCTATTTTTTAAATAACATATGGCTTTAAAATAGGGCTCCTTTTGTGCTTAAAAGCAGAGGTGTGAGGAGAGCATTGTCCTCATGGAGAAGAACGAGAGCGGCTGGGGGAGCCCAGCAAGGCACTTTCTCCAAAAACGTTGGCATAGGAAGACTTGAGGAACTGGACATAGTTTTGCATGCTGCGGTTGGTGCTCTCCGACTGCTCCAACCGATCCTTTAAATCCTGCAGACGGCTTTCGTACCGGCGCTCTGCCTGCCCAAAGAAGCACAAAACACAGGCTGAAATACAGTGACATTCAACATATTCACATTAAACATGAGCTGCTCCCCAAGAGTGCTGAGGACAGCAAGAATAAGCACAGCAGTAGATGACATTACCATAGATGGTGCTATGATATTTGTAATTTGTTCTGCTCATTTTCAGCTCCATTCAGCAACCCGCTGATAAAACCAGGAGACAACGTGGCTAATCAGTTGGGCTTTTAAAACCAATTAGCCATAGTTACGGGGAATTAAACACACTCGTTTTTGAAAAGCAACTTGTCCTGATCCATGTGCCAACCTAATTCCAAGTAAAACTCAAGTAAACAAGCAGGGTAAATAGGACATTATGAAAGATTCCACTTCTTTCTTCTAGAAGAAATCCTTTCCTCTAGATGAGAAATCGCATCCCCTCTCAGACAACAAAGCACAGTATATGAAGTTGAAATCTGTCCATGATACCTGGTATGAATCTCATTTGAACACAAGAAAGGTCTGATTCTTTTCCACACACACGTAAGTTTAGAGCAAGTTCCTTCAGACCATTGCTATAATCAGATCATTGCTGTAAGGAACAAGCAAAGGAGAGTCCAGGCTCCTGAATCAGCGACATAACTGACACGCCATATGGCGCACGTGTCATGGACACACAGAAGAGCAGGTCACATTCAGGCACAGCCCTGCATGACTTTTGCAGCATGTCCATAGGACCTTGGTTTATGGACGCCTGTTGCTGCCAGGATACCACTAGCCCAGCAAGAGTGCCCCTTGCAAGGCACTCACATCGTCTTTGCTCTGACGCAATTGGCTCAGCTCTGTTTTATTCCGACTCAGCTGGGTCTCCAAATCCAACATCTTGGACTGGGCTGCCCTCTCTCTAGATGTTGCTCGTTCTCGAGTTTGTTCCACCTACGTGTAACATCAGAACAACAACTTTGTTAAAGGATTGTCTATGGCAGCGTGGTTTTTCCCTAACCCATTGCCCACAAAAGCCCTATAAAGTTTCATTGGACACATCATACAGAAGCAGCAGCTCATCTCGTGCTTTCTTCTGTCGCAAGCGGGAGGCGGAGTTCAGTTTCTCACTGGTTTAAGTGCTGACAAACAGTACCAGCACTTTATTATTGGTATTTCACTGAACATGATGATTTTCATAACACTGCCACAGGCTGAGGAGGTATTTTCAGCATTCTCACTGTTCCCCTTTTACACTTAGCGAGAATTCACAAACACAAGGAATTACTTACTTGTCTTTTGGCATCCTCAATGGCCATCTCCAACTGACGTGCCAAGGAGCTGCACTCACGGGTCTTCTCCTCTAACCGCAGCTGACACTGGTGGATCGACTCCTCTCGTTTAGCTATGACCTGAAGGAATTCTATATTCTGGGCACTCGTTGTTTCTAGTTTTCTAGGTTAAGACAATAAGGGAAGGAAACCTATTCATTTCACGTGGAGTGTGTTTCAGTCTGCCTTTTTGTCAGGTCCTGACTGGTCTGGGAATAGATTTTATTCCCCCTTGAAAGGCAAAAGCTCCAAGAAATGCTTCTCCACTTCTCAAATAAAAATTTGAAAGATTGAAGAACACACAAAGTACCCACACACCTGTGTTTTCCCAAACATTGTCCCTAAAAGAAATTTATAAACATGGGTAAAAATACTGTAATATGTAGTAACCTCAAAATTGTCAGGCTAGACTGGACAAGGAGCTGGTTTATCTGCTGTGTAAGCCATCAATCCCTTCTAACAACATCCATAACAGGTGCTGCAAAACCATAAAACTCTGTCTCCAGTGGACAGCTACTGATCAGAGATCCTTGTGGGATAATCAAACACACAGAATCCTGGAGGCACGTGGGGTACTGGGACAAGACTGAAGCTGTTTCAATCCCTCAGGGAAAAAAATAAAAAAAAAAGAGGACAGAAATGGAAGGTTAAAAGCCAGAGAGCCTAATATTTCTAACCTTTCTAGCTCGTCCACCTTCAAGGTGAGCTGCTTTTTCTCCTCCTGGGCAGACTGATACCTCTCTCTTGTCATCTCCATTTTGTCCCCCTGGAGCTCAATCTAAAAATTACAGTACGTAATTACTTTACACAGTGGTCACTACACACACACACACGAGCAGCCACCTAAAACAGACGCAGCTCTCCAGAAGGAAACATGCTCAATTCACAGTTTCTGGAGAGACCCAGAAAAGGAACAGTGGATAGAAAAGCAAAGCACTAAACACCCATTTTGCTTGTGCTTGCAGTTAAGGTTTGGAAAGGTATCAGAAAATTCTTCCGTATCGCAAACGAAAAGCCAGGTCTGTACACACTTGCATGCAGAGCAGCCACCTGTAAGCACAGCGAAGCACACACATTAAAAGCAGCCCACAAAGGCACTACAGCCTGAAATACCAAGAAGGTTTATAATTCCAAGCAGATCAGTAAAGCAGTCAGACTGCAAGATCATTTGCTGTGTCCCGAGGCATGGCTGTAGAAGATATGCCTGTCTATGATTGTCCTGCAGTACCTACGCAGTCCTTCTGGGGACAAAAAACAGGGACTGGGAAAACAACCCGAAATCAGGGCGAGAAAATCAGGTTGGGACAGCACTGTCAGCAGCAAGCACAGGAGGGGAAGCTGACAAGGTGACGGAAGTAACAGAAGCGAGTGTTGGCATTAGCAAGTGTCGACACTGCTGCTATTCAAGTCCCAGTAAGGTTCTGCACCAAGGGATGAGAAACCTTTCAAACAGCACAGAATGCTACTAGCCACGCCGCTAACTTCTTGCGCAAAGACAGAGCACACACACCTTTATTTTGCAGTGCACGTTTAGTCTTTTCAAAGAGAGAAGAGAACACAGATGAAGTTTGAACCTTCCTGCGATTAGAAATTCATCTTGGTCTCAGACTCGCGATTGCAGTGCTGCAGGTGCTTTCTGCCAGTCCCTTACCCGCTGACGAAGATCTGCAATCGTGACAGACAGGTCCACATTCTTCTTCTCGTAGCTCTGAAGCTGGTCCTGACACTCTGCTAGCTGGGTGTCGGTGATCTTCAGGATCTCAGGCAGCTTTTCCAGTTCAGCAAGCTGGCTCTCAAACTGCTTACGCTCCTACAGTCAAAGAAGAGAACATGTTCATAAGGTGAAGACGAAAAGGTTTCTCAACTTCAGTGAGGCTTTGCTAGTCTGCAACAATGACGACACTGTTGGAGTTCAAAGCCTAAGGTCTTTTACTCCAAAAGGCTTAGGACTTGGCATTCCCTATGGATGGAGTGAGAATGAGTGAACATTTTGGATCCTGGGCTTCAATTTTGCTAAAATCTTGCCTTTTTTTTTTTTTTTGGAGGACAGCTGTTTTCCACATCAGAAAATGGTGTAACCTAGATAGTCCACTGTTCTAAACCTCTATTTCTGCAGCAAAGGACACACTAAGCAATATAAACACCTCTGAAGAATGCCATATAGACAAAAAGAATTTGCTAAATGTCCAATAAATTCTGCAGAATGAACAAGCCCTGAGAAAAACTAATGGAAAAGACAAACACAGATAACCCTTTTATTTCCTATTCACAGCCATTTTTCACTACATTCAGAACATCAGGATCCATGAATGTCTACACCATATCAGTCTTTAGAGGAATAGTTACCAGCTCAATCACCTTGTTCATTTCATCCTTTAGTGTCTTGTTCTCTGTATCACACTTCTCCAGTTTTGCTGCCATATCATCTGCTTCCATTCGGGTCTTCAACAACTGGACATACAAAAAACCCCACATACTTCATCTGTTATATACAGTTTTCAGCAAATGTGCAATGACTTCGAGTAACTAAAACTGCTCGAGGATCAGCAACAAGTTTCTTGCCACACTAACCACCACCCCAGAACTGTATTTGGAAGTTCACTTTCTGCTTCTGCCACCTGGATAATTTGGACTCTCCCCTCTTGTCTTATCTTCCTACTACCACAATACCCAAAAAACAGCCAGAGAACAGTACTTGCCACACTAAAAGGCAGAAGAAAGCATCTCACTATTTTCTTTTACCTTATGAAAAAGAGCAGGGAAAAACAAAATAATCAAAACCAGTCTTTTGTTTTCTATTAATCAAGACCTCTGCTGTTGGAGTCAGTTCTTCCTAATGACCAAGTTATCAGCCCAGAGTGAGAAAGGCAAGTCTTCCACACTTCGGCATACGGCACAGAGCAATCTGCATGCTGCCATTTGAGAAAAAGCCGAGCTAATAGGGACAAAAGAACCAAAACCATACGAAACCGCAACAACCTCCAAGAGCAAACAGAGGGTTAAGGTGTTATGGAATAAGCCACAACAGTGAAGGGAGGAAACATGTTTGTGCAAAGGCTGAAGGATTTAATAAGATGCCTACCTGTGACTTGTAGGTTTCAATCAACCCTTCATAGTTCCTGACAGAGCTCTTGAGCTGCTGCACTTCCATCTGTGCTTGGTTCAGCTTTTCCTCCATTGGGACCATACTAGCCTGAAAAAAAGAAAACATCTTCCACTGAGCGCTTGGAAGTAACTGCCAGCCGTCTAACACTGCCTCCACCAAGCAAAAAGACTTTTATCAGTGTAAGCTGGCAAAACTTTCCAGACTCCAGTGGATCACCAAATTTACACCAGCAGAGCACAGAGGTTTGGGATGGATGTGCAATCTTCCCATTTGCCCGAGTGAGCTGTGCTACTTGGACTAGGGCCACTCCTAATTTGGATCAATGCCTAGCTTTCCAAGAAGAAAATTAGGTAGGTCACCTACAAGATCATAGTGGTAAGAGATGACAGGAGAAATATGCCAGCCATTTTTTTTTATTCTGGAGATTACCATTCTCTCTGCATGAGCTACAGTTGTTTGTTCTCTGGCCAGCAGCACGAAGCTGTAAGAAGATGTAAGATCCCAGCCAGAGGAAACAGTACTTGGATTGGAGATACTCCCAGCCAAAACGTGGAAGAAACCTAGTCCTCCCAGAACGTTCGCTTCCTTTCTTTATGCCTCTTCCTAATACACTTGCCTTACTATACTCAGGTTACAGTAAAACTGGTTTGAAACTAAATGGCAGCAATGGGTGCAATTCAACTCTGTCCTCAGAGGCCAAGCAACTTGTTATAATTTCTCCTTCTTTCACCTAGCACGTCAGGTTCAAACCCCTGGAATAACTGACCTTTAGCCTTTCATTCTCCATTTTGAAAGAAGTGGTCTCTGTAGTCTGTCGATGCAATCTATCCACCAAAGCTTCTCTGTCCTCCCGCATCCTGTCCTCCAGGGTTGTCTGCTCTTCCAGCAAGTCTGCAACACGACTACCACACAGAAAGAAAATTAATCCTTAAGTGACAAGAAAGAACAAGACTCCTAACCCTTGAAGATTAGCTTCAGAAACATGGCTTTTCCCTGTCTTTCATCCTCCTCGTCTAGTCAGGTATGCACACCTATCTGTTACACTGTTCTACTACCTCATTCTTCTACGCCTGCTGGAAATTAACTTGAGTTGTTCCCTAGGAGCTCAAATGCATTGCCTCCAAGACACACAGGATAAAGAGGTGCCTCTCTCTTGTCTTGTACCTGCCTATTTTGTCCTGCAGCAACAACTCTACTGCAGTGATACTAACACATTTATTTACTTTCACAAGAAAATTGGCACAAACTATACTGCCTACCTCTTGTAATCCCTCCCACTTAAGCATCTCAGACAGATCTCAAAAGAAAGATAAACTTCATTCTTTGAAAGCATTACAAAATGGCAAAGGAACAGAGAGATTTAAGCATCAGCAAACCCTTAAAAAGCCTGCCTTTGCTGTGTCAAGTCAGCAGCAGAAGCCACATCTCTCTCTCTCTCCCCACCCCAAACCTTGCTCTAGCCCTTAGGCAGTGCTGGTTTTGTTTGGATATTTACAGGCAATCCAATTGCATTATTCACTTTAATGAAATTATTCCATTAAAATCAATTAAATTATCAGTGAACTTAGAACTCATCCCCACCCATGCTTATTTCTCCACACTAATTTTATTTAACCTGTTCAGCGTAACAATTTCCAGTTCGAGGTCACTCTTGTCCTTTACTACTTTGTTGTAGCGGCTCCTCCAGGACTCCACAGTAGATAGTGCCTCCGCAACGTAACTGTCCTATCAAACAAAAGAAATACCCGCGAGAAAGAGCAAGGGTGACAAAAACGTCACTGGACATGGGACATGCAGACAACACGCAGAGATGCTGATACAGTACAGCATGATACCTGCAGAGACTTCACTAAGACTTTTAAAATACTGAGGACAAGTATTTATTTTTATGCTTCCTGATCCTTCAGAGAGAGGTGTCCTCCAACACTACTGTCAGCCAACAGACATAACAGCAGCGAAAGAAGAATCCTCTTTGAAGGCAGATGAACTATCATAAATGCAAAGCATGGTTAAGATTCTACTGCTGGCTCTGGTCCCTGGAATTCTAAAAACAATGGAGAAAAAAAATAACAAATTAGTGTGAAATCCACGTTCCCTTCTAATTTGTTTTAGACCTAACTTTTCTACTTTTTCTTGATGTCCTCCAGTCATTTTTCAATAGGAAATTCCAGTACATCTCTAGGTCTTTGCACTTTTCTGCTCTGACTAGCAGTTTCTTGATTAGCAACCAATCCCATTCAGAATTTTCAGCCAAAACTACAAGGCTTTATTTTATTGGCTTCTGTCAACCCTTAGATGGTTCTAAAGAACCAGGTGAAAAAAATCAGATCTGCTAGTTTAGTATGATCTAAGTTTTTGCACGTCCTAAGTTAAGGACATGCAGCGAATACAGTGACATCTGAGAAAACTGGATTTGTTCTAAACTTAGCATAAATGGGCCAAGGCATCACGACAGAAATAAATCTCATTAGTGGAAAGCAGGTCTCCCCAGGGCTGCTACCCGAAGTCAAAGATTTAGATACATGATCTGAAACGAGGCCTCTCCTCCTGTTATCAGGTACCTTTTCTGCTAGCTGGACAGTCAGTTGCTCTGTATACTGCTCACTCCGCTCTGCCCGCTCTTTCTGTGCGCGGACGGCTTTCTTCAGGGCCTCTTTATCGTGGTCTGCCTTCTGCCTTAGCTCTTTCAGTTGCTCCATGACATGTTCCACCTCTGCCTTATGCTGAGCTTCACTGCGCTCCAGGTTCTGCAGCAGAGGAAGAAAACACACCACGTGGAATAACGCCCTTATACCTGCACACCCAAAGCAGCAACTGATTTCCTAGAAACAGTGGAGAGACCCGGGCACAAACCCCAGCCTCCAGCCTAGAGGTACCTGCAGTCACGTTTCACCTACACAATCCTGTCCTAATGCTGACAGACACATCAGCATGACATGTCTTCCTTTCCTTCCAAGAGCCTTCCTTTCTTCTTTCAGAAGCTGCTCTCTAGAATACTGATTTCCTCTCCTGGCCGAGATAAATACTGGTCTACCAGTCTTTTGACCTACCCGAGAACATTCTCTTCATTAACTGAAATGCTCACATACAATAAAGTTGCTTTATGCAGCTATATAGCTTAACAGAATTAAAGCTCTTCTAAACTGTTAACATACATTTGTTCATCACAGCATCAACAGATAATGTTAAACATAAGACTTTGAACAAGGTAAACCAGGGGAACTCTCTCCTCCTCATTAATGCTGTAGAAAGCACGCATGAGTATGACCAAATACAGGAACCCATGGCAGAGCGGTTTTCCCAGAAAGCAAATTAAATAGTTTACAATCTGTCTTGATGCTTGACTCAACCAAAGCCATCTTTTAAATAATTATGTAGTAATTAACTTAGAAAAGAGTCCCACTAATTAATGCACAAAGACCTAAGGCTATGCTTTTGCCTCATGCATCAACAGTGAAAAGATTTTTCTCTTTGTACTTCATCCTGTACATTAGCGGCATAAACGTCACCAGCCAGTATTCCAGGCTACCAGACACAGCAGACTAGTTGGCGAGTGCTGCTTCCCTTGTCAGTCAATCCAGTTGGTGAAGGTAAACGAAGAGACAATCCCCAGGGAGCGCTGCAAACATACCCGGATCTGTACAGTCAGGCGGTTGTTCTCAGCTTCTTTGTTTCTCAGCTGCGCTTGCAAACGGCCTCTCACAGCCTCCATCGATTTGGAGAACTCGCATGCTGTCTTGGCCTGCTCCTAAATAAGCAGCAACAAGACACACAGCTTTTTCCTCAACAAGCTGAAAGAAGGAACGCTTTATATTATGTAACAGTGTCAGATTTCTTCAGTGAATGATTTCCAGCCACCTCCACTTTCCTCAGATGGACCCTCACAGCTCTTCTACTCCACAAAATGGGGAACAAACGAGTAGCCATTTATTTTACATCAGATGTGAACAACTGCCCTGAAAGATTTCGTTTAGAGCAAAACATCCTTCATGTCTAATCGCTTCCAGTACATTCCCCTTTTACTTCCTAAGCAGAGGAACAGACTGTAATTTGACATCAGGAGCCAACAGGACCTTAAACAGAAAGGCAATTCAGTGACAAGCCTGAGCAAAGAGAACACTACCTATTCATCCTTGTGACGGGTGTCTTAGTAGCAGAATATGGAATCCACAACTGTGAGGGAATTAGTAGCTGTCTGTCTAGTTTTATAAGCAAACCAGTCATCTGATCCCTTAAAAAGCAATTGTCTGCAAACACACACCCATATTTTGGACTACCTGTGGGTCTACAGAACTGGAAGGTGGAACACGGAGGGAAAACAGAAACAGGAATCTACCTTTTCTGCCTGTATCTGAATGGTAAGATCGTCCACTTCTTTTTCTTTCTCCTGAAGCCTCATCTGAAGTTGCTGGGAAAACAAACACCACTCAGTTAAGTAACAAACACATTTAGGTTGACAGGTAGAGGGAAA